CAGGAGTTCAAGACCAGCCTGGCCAAGATGGTGAAACCCCGTCTCTACTAAAAATACAAAAAAATTAGCCAGGCGTGGTGGCGGGCGCCTGTAATCCCAGGTACTCAGGAGGCTGAGTCAGAGAACTGCTTGAACCCGGAAGGCGGAGGTTGCAGTGAGCCAAGATCGTGCCACTGCACTCCAACAGAGCGAGACTCTGTCTCAAAAAAAAAAAAAAAAGATTCCTTCAGCCACCCTCCTCTGAGAACCCTGTGCCAGCTAGATAAGGCCCTAGAGGTACAGGTCACACTGCAGGGGGATGGCGGAGCTCAGCCACAAACCCAGTAGTCTGGCTGACGTCTGAGCTCCTGCCCTCTCCAAATGGTCCCTCTGTGCATATGGGGATCAAGGTTCCTTTAGACTCACTGCAGGAACTTTGCTCAGCCATGGGCTGATTGCCGCTGAGGGGAAGGAGGTGCCATATTCAACATCTCCAAGGAGGCCCTCAAGCCCCATCCAGGCTCTGCCACTCAAACTGCCCCCTACCCCAGATACATGACTCCAGACAAGTATCATGAGTAGGCAGCATATGACTCCAGACAAGGGCTTCAGGGCCAGCTGGACCTGGGTCCCAATCCTGGCTCTGCCCCATTGCTCTGAGCCCTCAACTCAGCAGGTCACTTTGCTTCTTGGCATCTCCAAGTCATTGCTATGAATGGAGGTTCAATGGGTCATAGCCTTAACGTTACCAGTTGTCCTTGCTACTCTTTTTTTATTTTACTTTTTGTGAGATGGAGTGTCATTCTTGTTGCCCAGGCTGGACTGCAATAGCGTGATCTCGGCTCACCGCAACCTCCATCTCCCGGATTAAAGTGATTCTCCTGTCTCAGCCTCCCGAATAGCTGGGACTACAGGCATGCACCACTGTGCCTAGCTAATTTTTGTATTTTTAGTAGAGGTGGGGGTTTCACTATGTCAGCCAGGCTGGTCTCAAACTCCAGACCTCGTGATCCACCCATCTCGGCCTCCCAAAGTAATCCCAGCACTTTGGGAGGCCGAGGCGGGTGGATCACAAGGTCAGGAGATCGAGACCACCCTCACTAACACGGTGAAACCCCGTCTCTACTAAAAACACAAAAAAATTAGCCGGGTGTGGTGGAGGTGGGCACCTGTAGTCCCAGCTACTCGGGAGGCTGAAGCAGGAGAATGGTGTGAAACCGGGAGGCGGAGCTTGCAGTGAGCGGAGATAGCGCCACTGCACTCCAGCCTGGGTAACAGAGCGAGATTCTGTCTCAAAAAAAAAAAAAAAAGAGACAAGGTCTTGCTCTATCACCCAGGCTGGAGTGTGTTGGCAAAATCATAGCTCATTGCAGCCTCAAATTCTTGGGATCAATCGATCCTCCCAGCTTGCCCTCCCAAGTAGCTGGGAGTCTAGGAACATGCCACCATGCCCAGCCAAGGCAGGCAGACTTCAGATCAGGAGTTTTGAGACCAGCCTGGCCAACATGGCAAAACTCGTCTCTACTAAAAATACAAAAATTAACCGAGCGTGGTGGTACATGCCTGTAATCTCAGCTACTCAGGAGGCTGAGGCACAAGAATCACTTGAACCTGGGAGGTGGGGGTTGCAGTGAGCTGAGCTCACTCCATTGCACTCCAGCCTGGGCAAGAGAGCAACACCCTGTCTCAAAAACAAATAAATGAATAAATACATATACATATATATATTTTTTTTTTAGAGAGATGGGGTCCATGTTGCCCAGACTAGTCTTGAACTCCTAGCCTCAAGTGATCTTCCTATCTCAGCCTTCTGAATCACTGGGATTACAGGCATGAGCCACTGCACCTGGCTCTTGCTACTCTCTGATACTGCCAGGCCTGAAGCCAGACCAAGCTGGTGTGAGTTTCAGAGTAAGAGCCCCGTATCTTTTGGGCTGGACCCTCCCGGCCATGGCTGCATGTTCAAGCCCTAAAATGTCCCTCTTACCCGTTGAACGACTCCAGCTTTGGCAGTGACATTTCCTCTGACAGGTCCAGGCAGATAATCTGCAAGGTAGTTGGAGGGTGGTGAGCGTCCTCTGACCTTAACATTGGCCCCCACACCACTCACTGGCCCTCTTCAAGCTGCCCTGTCTGAAAAGGCAGTACGGTGACCCCTAATCGTGAGCCAAGCCATCCACTTTGAAAAGCAATGGCTTAGAAGCATGGGCGCTGAACTGGGAGTCCATGTAGAAAAGCAAATCAATGAGCCAGACAATGTGTGACACAGAAACACAGAAATAAGGATATAGCAGGTTGAACTGTGGCTCCCAAAAGACATGTCCACCCAGAACCTGAGAATGTGACCTTATTTGGCCAGGCACAGTGGCTCACAGCTGTAATCCCAGCACTTAGGGAAGCCAAGGAAGGCAGATCACTTGAGGTCAGGAGTTTGAGACCAGCCTGGCCAACATGG